GCTTGTCACATATCTCCAGCTGCTCTCCCTCACTGAATGAAAGATCATCACTCCATATTCCATGATAGTCAATACGTGCTGTGTAAATAGATTCTGCTGTTGGTGTATCCAGTGATTGTGTCCACTGATCCTTCTCTATACAATATATCAATCAGTTAATGATTTAATTACTAACATATCACATACTCTCAATATTTCCCTTTTCACTCATCACCAGTTGTACACTAGTTATTGATATATTTGCTTGAAGTAGTAACTCAATCTCTTTCTTATACTCCACTAATGCCTCCTCTCTTCCTGTCATGAGGTAGTATAGACAGATTATACCAGTAGAGTCAGTACCTGCTTTCATTAGGAGAGAGGTTCGGAAATACTGAGTCTCTGATTTCTTTGATTTAAATATTTTATTTATCAACTTCCCTCTAGTCAGTAGCTTCACTTTCAGTTTAGACTCTACAGTAATGACACAATGAGAATTTTAATTTATAAGATAATTGTACTGATTGTTCAAATGATTATCAACTCCACATTACTTTAATACATGCTTTAAGTTAGTACTATACCTGGTGTCTCTAGTCTCCTTTCATTATACTCTATACAAGTAAAAATACATTAATAAAATATCTTCATCATTCACTAACTATACCTTTTCTTTTTTTCATGATATTCAGTTGTTTATCTTGTTCAAATATTGATCCTATACCATTAGTATAAGTAACATCAGTAATTGAGTAATAGATCAACTATCACACCTTCTTTGTAATCAAGTAAAGTCCTCAGTTCTTGTTCCTCTCTATCAGCTAGTTTAATCTCCTCTGCAAGACACTCATTATTCATTACCTATAATCAGTACATAATATTAAACAAGGTCTCATACAGTTACAGTATCTTATACTTTGTATCTGATCCTTTTATCATAAACAGTGTAGTGGCCAATGGTTAGTCTAATTAAACTGAATTCCTTCATCAAGACAGTTAGGTTGTCTTGTGCTTCCAAGAGAAGAGCAGCTAGTAAATGATGTGGACCATAACAGATGATAATGATGGAGTTCCCACGATGAATGCTTCGTACAATAATCCTCTTGTTTAATTCTTTAAATGCTTCCTCTAAGAGATTACGTATGTCATCAAGTGAGTGCTCCTCTGGTTCCCATCCCAAAGTAAACTGAATTGTTTCACAAATGAGAAAATGCTGAGGTTGATTCTGGCTTAGGAAATCCTTCAGAAATTTACATGCTGTCTTCACTTCTTTCTCATACTCTGATATCAAAGGATTGGCTTCAGTGATTTTAAACCGTTTTATAATTAACTTCAATATTGAAATGTTGTTTAATCGGCAATTTTTGACAGCGATATTCATAATGCCTTCAACGCTATCAGCATCAGGCAGCTCAGCACTAAATTTTGGGTAAAATCGTTGAAGGAATGACTTCATTTCATCAATGGATGCTTTTGATTGAGATATCAATGGAACCAGCTCATCAATAAGAATAATAAAACTTCCTCTGATCT